AATTAATCTGAAACTTTTAAAACCATTTATTTTCTTTTCAACACCATCACTTGATAAGACACAGAGTGTGTTGAAACAAAATGGCTATTTTTGTAGTGATTTTATAACATACTTATGTTATAAATTTTTTTTATAAAAATAATTATATATATATATATATATATAATATATATATATATATATATATATTTATTTATATATAAAAAGTTTTAAGAGTATAAATCCAGGTTGAATATCAATGTCCAGGATTTGTAATAATATATAAAACCATAATATATAATATTTTTTTGGTTATAATTTTCATATTGGAATTTTTTATATTTTATATTTATTATATATATATATATATATATATATATATATATAATTTCATTGTGTGTGTGTATTTTTAAACTTTTATTTTATAGCTTATTAAAAAATTTTTAATTTTATATATTTCAGAACGAACATTATATTATATCATATCTATAAAAATATTTTAATATTCTTGTTTTTAAAAAAAAATATAAAACAAAAAAAAAATGTCATTACCTATAGCAACTTTATAATATAATATTTTTTTAAGTAATTAACTTTTAAATTTAATCTGTATATATATATATATGTCTTCCCATCAAAATTTTATCTTAAAGATTATTGTTTCTTCTATCTATTTTTATCTATTTATCTTTCATTATCTATCTATCTATCTATCTATAATCTATATATATATCTAAATGTTGAACAAAAAGTACAAATGTTTATATTTGATTGAAATAAAGAATTTAATAAAGTGAATGAGTGTGTGTGTGTGTTTACGTGTGTATATAAGATATATTTTTATACAAATATATTTATAGATATTTTAACACTAAATAAAAGTAATTTTCTTTTTTTTTGGAAGAGAAAGAAAACGTCTTTTTATTATATTAAAATTTTCAAAACGTCTAAATGAGATGCAATATGAAATAATTGATCATAATCAATAATTTTTATGTTCATTACGATCAGATCGATTAATTTCTGCGTTTTTATGTCATCAATTATTTGTAACCGGTTGACGTTAAGGCGGAGTGTTTTTAAAATTTTTGGTTGGCTCCATTATGAATTTTTCTAGCCAGTTTTAATTATTTGCTAAGCTGATTGAAAAATATAAAGATTTTCTGTTAAATAACATTTTGTGAATAATTAAGTTTTGAATACTGTAACAAATAAATACGACATCAGAAGAATGGAAAATTTTTAATCATAAAACTTCATTTAATTTTCATACTGATATTTTTGATTTCGCCTTATTTCAAAAATGTTTCTAATCATTAAAATGTTGCCCGGGGCCTTTCAAAATGCTCATTAAAAAATTCAAAAAAAAGAATTATAAAATCTCGAGAGGAAATTTTATATGCCAGTTTTTTTGAATTATTCAAATTCCTAAACATAAATCATTTAAAATTTTATATGTCTTTTTTATAAAATCTATTTTTTTTTTTTTATTAATTAAAATTTATCACCATTTCTGAATTTTATTTTTATTCCATAAATAAACGGAATCATTTTTTTTTTAAAGAATATTTCAAATTTAAAAATGACTTTTTTAATTTTTCACCCATCGATTACAGACAATTCCTCTATATTTTAATATTTCATTTTTTTTTATTATTATTTTATTATTTTGATTTATTATTTGCTTATAAATGAATTATATAAAAAAATATTTTCAAATTAATTTATAGATTTAAAAAAGTTTTGGATTACAAAAATTATTCAAACAAAAAAATTTTAAAATTATATTTAAAATATGAAATAATATTTTGCAATTTTAAGTTCTTTTTTTCTCCGTAAATTAAATGTTTATTTTTTATTTTTTCGAATTTTTATATTTCAATTTCCCTGTTGTTATTTGGGCATAGGAAAGAAAATTAATCTTTTTTTGGAAAAAAAATTTTATCCACCTATAATACATTTAAAAAATGATTTCTAATTTGCATTTTTTCTAGTTTTTATTAATATTTCATTTTTCAAATGATTTTTATTTAAATGATAATTCGTTGTATTCAGATATTTAATAAAAACATTATATTTATAAAAAAAATTTTTTTTATATTTTGAAAGTTTTCTATTATTTGGTAAGATTTTATATGAAAATAAAATAGCAAATTGAAATAAATTAGATGTCTTAAACCGATCTTTAATATTTATCTTTTAAAAAAAATCATGAATTTGTGTCCAAGAAGTTTCAATGAAAATAAAAGAAATTTGCCAATTTACAAAGTTTTTTCAAGTTTTTTTTTGTTTGTTGTCCTTTGAAATAAACGTTTAAATTGACGATGAATAACAGAAATTTGTTTATAAAAAAATTTGAAAATGACCTACTATATTTTTGGTCTTATTAAAGGATGGCAATTTTAATCTGGATAAAATATTTGAGCATATGCAATTTAATTTATTTTATATACATACATACATATATATATATATATATATATATATATATCAGGGAGAGATAAATGTAAAACATAAAATTTGCAATATTATAAATAATTGATGTTTGTGTCTCATAATGATAGAAAAAATTAATATAAAAAATATATATAAAATTTCTGTATTCAAAACTTAAAAAAATATATATGTGCATTTTGGATATATGTGATGTGCAAATGATGATTTCATAAATTTTGGATGCAACACTAGTTTTGTGAAAATAATTCAAGTATTTGTAAATTGATTGCATGGTTTATTGTAATCCCATATATATATATATATTGACACAGAATATTCATAATAAATACAATATGTATATATATATATCTTTCATTATTCTCTTTTTATATAGTTGGATAAACTAAATATAAGGTATATATTCTCTAAACCTGAATTTGCAATTTTTATAAATAAAAATTGAAAAAATAAAATTCTCTTAATTCCAATTCTCAATAAGAGCAAATTGAGGATTTATATAATACACATTAAATCTCTGTATACTTGGTAAAAACCACATAAACAAGTTAATAAATTAAAAAATTCAACATAAATTTGTGGTAAAAAGATAGTGAAATCAAAATGTCATATGTGCATGAATGTTTTTTTATCTGAATATTGTTTTTGAAATTTTGAATTTCAGTTTTGTGTATGAAACAGAAATATACAATGGAATTTAATGTCTTTTCAAAAACAAAAAATTATATATATATATATTTCATTATCATTATTCTATTATATGACATTCATTGTAAAAACAGTCAGAAAATATTAAAATCTTTTTCTTTTAAAAAAAAACTTTAAAATATTTCTTTCATACTTTAATCAAAAGATGAAATTATTGCAGGTCCTGCACAATTCTGCAAGGGTAAATATTTTTCCTTGTGTCAGCATTGAAAATATTTTAAATATTAACATTTTTAAAGTGTTAATGAAACAGAAACATTTAAAAATCTTTTATCAGTTTTATATATATATATATATAAAATATATTTTATATAATATTATATAATATATTCCATTACAGAATACAATTAAATGACCAAGAGCAGATAGAGAATAGAGAATTCTAAAACAGTAATTTACTTATATTGAATTTACTAGTATTTTTGTTTTTTCAATGTTAATACCATGGCAAAATATGTTAGAATGATCAGCCTTCTCAATGAGTTGCGTCAGTAATTCTGTTTGCCTCGACTAAAATAGGGAATCATTAACTTTTTTTTTTTTTTTTTTTTTTCTGTAAATCATTTTGCCCAAATAAATGAATGAATTTATTTTTCGTTAATGACACAAAGGGGTGTGTGAGAATATGAGAAAAGAAAATTCGTAAGGAAATGATAATAAAATTAACAAGAATCATTGGGAATACAGAAGATAATGATTGACATTGCATTTAAATTTTTGAAGATTATAGGTGACTATAAGTTTTGCAAATTGAAATGTAAAAAAACACAAGTGTTATTGTTTGAGGTCGAAAGACATGGGAAGAACATACATAAGGAGAAAAACTCCAATAAAAGAACAGAATTCAGGAAGATTGTGATTGATGTTGCATTTAAATTATTGAAGATTGTAGATGACAGGGAAGCAAAAAACTGGAAGAGGATTCCACAGGCACGTATTAATTAATTTAATAGATTTAACTTAAATCATTTAAGTAATAATATTTATTTTAATTTATTTAATTATATAACTAATATAATATTTAAATTGTATATTATTTGAATAAATATTGAATTATTTAAATATAAATACATAAATGTACAGGGTTGGGTTGAAAATTCTCAGCTTGACCAAGAATGGATTCCAAAATAAATTCTAATGTTTTGTCATTTGGCCAGATTTTGGGAAATGGTTTGAGTTAGGAACTACATTCCATTGTAGATGCAGATTGGTCATGAATTATAATTTTTAAATGTTTTTTTTTATTTCTATAGGCCTTTGAATTTTTCATTCATGGTCTTAAACATGTTTACCTCTCTCTATATATATTTTCTTGTTTCCATCTATTCACCTTTTATATCTATATATTTTTCCTTTCAGCTTTTTCTTTTTTTTTTTTCTTTCTTGTCTCCTGCCTTTTTCTACTCTATAACTTTGTTTTCCTCCTTCATTTTCCTCTTCCTTAATTTTAAAATCAGATTGCTTGATAAGTTTTTGCCAGACCAAACTGGGAATGATCTAGAACCATGAAACACTATTCAAAATTCACCTGTTTTCAATAAACACAAAATATTTCTAAAGTCTTCTTAAACCCATCCCCCCAAAAGAACAAACTGTTTGGCCATTGAAATACTGTTGCTATCACCTTTGAATTATTTGATTAGTTCTGGAGAAGTTGCTCTTATGGCTAATCTTAATTTTCTCTTTTCTACTCCATGGATCTCAACTGGAGTATGTTTTTCTTTTATTAAATTGAAAATATCTTTTTTTTTTTTTTTTTTTTTATATTAAACTGAAGGTTACTTCCAGAGTCTGTTCGCTGGCTGATTTCCAGAAAAAGATTCGATGAGGTGGATAATCTGATTGAAAAAATTGCTCGCATGAACAAAGTTAACCTTCCAGCTGAGTCTTTGGAACAACTAAAGAATTCTGCAGTGGAAGATGCCAATGAAGAAATACCAAAGACTTATACAATTATTGATCTTGTAAGAACATGGGACCAGGCTAAAATTTCTCTTAATGTTTGGTGGAGTTGGTATGTCTGATTATGCATTTTTTTTTTTTTTTACAATTATTCTTGTTGATTCAGTTTTGAAGTTATTTTTTTTTTCCTGAGAAACATTTCTCAGAATAGAAATGTGTTGGTGTAGAATTAATAGCTTAGCATTGCATTGGGCAATGGACTTTCCCGATCATTTTCATCACATATTTTCTCCTTGTAATCAAATGTTTCCAAATGTCAACTCATAAAAGTTTTATGGAAAGTTAATGAGTAATTTTGAGAGACTAGCTTTAAAGAAAAGGCGGTAGCAGCAAAGTTTTCATTTAGTTAAAAACTTGTTAGGTTCATATGTATATCTCTGTATGAACTTATATATTGAATCAAAATATAAACTTTATTTATTTAAATATAATAAAAATCCTGATTTAAAATTCTTAAATATCTCAATAATTTCATCTTTATTTTTATGTACACTATTGGTATTAGTATTTAAATTTTTATTAGATAATGAATTGTCAGCCATTATTTTTTACTAGAATTACTTTGATCTTAATTTTAGTTGCCTTTCATCACAATAATTCTATAGTTTAAAAGTAAATGTTGCCAGTTGGATATAAAGGATAAAGTTGAGGAGAGACGCAAATTTATGGTGATATTTGATCTTTCGCTAGCAATCATACTTTCATAGTTAAATCAGCAAGAGCAGCCATTGGAGTAAAATAGACTTCCTGATACAAATGAATGTAAGTTATTGTCATTTTAGATTTTATTTCTAATCCATAACTTTTATTAATGGATATAAAATGAGGGTCTGAGTAGCAATAAAAAAGTATGAAAAGAAATACTAAAAAAAAAAAATTAATGTTTCCATGAGTATTTGGAAAATTTGGTCTTTAATATATGAAATTATGTTTCTTTTCTAGACTTATTTTCCTTTTTGGTTAATTTATTCTTAGTGAAAATTATTCAAACTGGTGGCCTGATTCAACAGGAAATGACTTTATTCTTCAAGTTAGAGCATGGTAATAGTATTGTGCTATACTGGTCTGTATTGCAGTTACAAACACAAAAATCAGATGATTATAATTTAGAAAAACTTATAAAAGTAAATGATAGCTCATTTTCCAGATATTGAAAGGTTTTATTTTAATTTGCATTTATTTAATCCAATTTGGTGATCATGAAATGTTTCTCTTCAGATCCATCATTTGTTTTTTCAGGTTTATCAATGGAATGTTGTATTATGGCTTGTCAATGAATTCAGTTGAAATGGATGGCAATCCCTATTTAAACTTTTGTTTATCAGCCCTGGTGGAAATCCCAGCCTACCTGCTGTGTATTTTTCTGCTTTCATTAGTTGGAAGACTCAAGCCCCTTTTTTGTTTTATGGTTTTTGGGGGACTCATGTGTATGATTGCAAGTGTAATGCCTGCCTGTAAGTAACAATATGTCTTGGCATTTCTTTTATTACTATTTGGTTGAAGACATTTAAAAAAAACCAAAAAAAAAACCCTGCCATTTTGCCTTTTATTAAACAAAAGAAAGATGGCATCAATGGTGATGATAGCAAATAATGAAACTTAATGGCAATCAGAGTTGGATAGAGAAAAATATAATGAAGTGACCTAAAAAGGAATGGCTGAAAAAAAAAAGACATAGTTGCCAACATCTCTTTCTCTTAAAATAATAAATTTTACAATTCATTCTCAGTGTCTTGATTTACAGAGAATAAAATGAAAGTTAGTTTCTACTTCATCATCTTTGAACCCACAGACTGGGTGGAAAAAGTATTTGCAAATCTGTGGCCATTTTAGAAACTAAACCAAAATAAAATTTAGTGTTATTTTTTTTTTTTTTACCATACAAGCTAAAAGATTGATGAAGTTTGAAACAGCTGAATTAAATCTTCACAAATTCTGTTTAAAATTTGCAGTTGAAGATAAGTTTAGTTTTATGGAATTATGTTAACTTATAGGATCTGGAATTCATAAAATTACTATTAATTTTGTTTTCATGATGAAGGTCGTTTGTTAGACTTTAACATATTTTCACATTTGTTGTCAAATGTCAATAAAAAGTTGTAGCTTCCCTTTTAACTTCTTTGGAGATGGATGAGATATTTGATAGCTTGAAGAAATAAAATACATTCTTTAAGAATTCCTTTATTATTGGCATTTACTGAGCTTTAGTCTGGCACAGGGGCCAGGAGTAGAGCTCTCAGTGACAAATTTGCATCAGTAAAAATTTATGTATTTATATTTTTTCACAACATGCTTATTTTGTAGATTTAAATTGGTTTAAACTAATGTTGGCCACTGTGGGTAAATTTGGAGCTACAGCTGCTTTTGGGATTGTCTACATCATGAGTGCTGAAATATTTCCAACAGTTGTGCGGTGAGTTGTCTAAATTCATTGTCTTTGAACATTGTTTTCTTCTCATCATTTTCTCATCATCATCTCATAAAAAAAAAAATCTTTAAAAACAAAAGAATACAAAATTATTCCCTGCTCTAAAATTAAATAAAAACTAAAATCTGTGGTTCTTAGCTTTTCTAATCACTAGCAGGAATCTAGTAATTTGTGAGACACTTTAGTGTTACTATAATATAGTGATTCTTTTTGTGTTTATCTCAGCGTTTTCTCTAATCTTCAAAGAAGCCAAACAACCCCTCCTCTTTTATTTGAGCCATGAAAATATGTTGTTCTTATTCCTTTAGTTGTAATGTCTAGTATTTGCCTCTTCACATTGTCAGTAATTCAATTTCTGGGCCAAGTTGTGCAAAAATAGACAAAGGCTTACTGGAAAGTCAGTAAGAAATGATGAGGACTTAAAACTTGTAAAATTTTCCAAAAAAGGATACTGAGCATGAATAGGTAAAGAATAAGAAAAATATACTTTTGTTTTTTGTTTACACTGCTGCAATGACATTGAAGAAAAGCTGAAGAGTAACATCAATCAAAATAAAATAATTATATCATGTATGTACATTGATATATATTGAATATATGAGAAAACAACTATTTTTTTTTTTACCAATTTTCATCTTATTAGTCAAATACACTTTGACCATTTGAAATCAAAGCTTTAAACTTGGAACTCATATTACCTGATTGCCATTGAAAAGAGTATTAATCTAGAAAATTGTGATAAAATGGCAACAAAATAAATTTTTCAATAACAAATTGTCATCTTGATGCTTTTTTTTTCTACTTGCAGAAATCTTGGGGTTGGGGTATCAACCCTTGCAGCTGGTTTAGGGGGTGCAATTGCACCTTTTGTTCTGGAATTCCCTGGACCTTGGTCATTGCTTGTGCTTGGTTTAGTGTCCATTGTCACTGGCATTCTTGTCCTCTTTTTGCCTGAAACAAAAGATATGCCATTGCCACAGACAATAGAAGATTCCAGTGCTTATATTCGGTAAGAATTCTTATCTGCTTCTAAAACTGACAATTGTCTCTTTGATACTGCTGAAGGTTTCAATCTATTTTTAAGGATTTTAATATTGTTGCAATATTTTACATGAAAATCATGATTAACTATTATCTTGAACACCAGAATTCAATCTCTCTACAATGCCTATAGTTAAGAGGATACCATTTTGTCATTACAGATATTTAAAAAAAAATGTTTCCACTGCCCAAATTGTTGTGTAAAATAAATCCAAGTCTTCTTTCTATCTGGTGATTATGTCACATTTGTATCTTAATTGTTTTTTCTTGACGCTATACTATCTTTTTTTTTTTTTTCTGTGGGTTAATTTGCCTCTGGAGGATCTTCTTTTCACTTATGTAGAAATTGTTCCATTCCCCCTTGTATATCAATTTTTGTTCAATGAATTCCAGAAGATATTTTAATTCTAAATTTTTCTCTTGCAGATCTGATTCATCTGGACAATCTACAAAAAAACTTATTTACAAGAAACCAAAAGTGAACAGAAATTTAAACAATGATTCTTGCACTGAACGACTTTAAAAGATTTTCTTTGTAAATTAGAAAAAGAAAAAAAATAAAGCAAATTATTTCTCCAAACAATGAAATCATTTTCAATTTAAACAGTTGTAGCCTGCACACATTCAATTTGCTAAAAGTATTTCAGAATGTGGATCAAAGCATCAATATCAAAATTTTATTTGGGATTGAATCATTCCCAAAATCTTTCTTTAATCATTCAAATAGTTTATGCAGACAAACAACCAAGTTTCAAGCAAAACTTGAGGCATATTTGTTGTGAATGTAATTTACTCAATGACACTTGAGTAACCCCATGGGAAAGTCTGTTTACATAAGTATTGTAAAGTCTTCTCTGGCTATTAATGTATGGGAAAGTCTGTTTACATAAGTATTGTAAAGTCTTCTCTGGCTATTAATGTATGGGAAAGTCTGTTTACATAATTATTGTAAAGTCTTCTCTGGCTATTAATGTATACTTAAAGATATTTAAAAAAAAAAAAAAATTCCGGTCAAATTAAGATGGGATTTATATTTTTTTTAATAATATATACAAGGAGCTACAAAGCTGAACATTTAGAATGTCTGAAATAAATTCATTAATGCTTGTGATTTCTTAAAAGATATAGGTGATCATGACTCCAGAGATTCCTTTTCTTCATTATCTGTGAAGTGCCATGGATTCTTGAGAATGATAGTGGAGTGGTTTCTTGTTGCTTTCTACACTGTTTGGAATTTAGAGTTTTCCTTCTCTTAGACTTGTTACCTACCAACACTAGAGCCCACTTTACCCTGCTATTTAACCCCTAACAGGAGCATGAGATGAGACAGACTCATGCCTTTTCCCAAGAGTATTAGTATGAGAGTTAGCACAAAGTATCCCATCCCAGAATTTGAAATTAGCTCCAATTCCACACTTTATCAGTCATATTCAACACCGTTCAATTGTATAGAGTGGAGTCATTTTTATGGAATTTTAATTTTTATTACTAAATTTTAATATTGAGTCAATAACTAATCATCAGAATTCTTTTTAAAAATCCTATTTTGGTCAGGCTGAAAACTTCTTTGTACCACTTTATAATAACCCCCAAAATCCAATTTTTAAATTATAATTTAGTTAATAAGTTAACTGATTTGGGAACACATTAAATATCACGTCAAAAATTAAACTTTTCAAATCAACACATTACATAAAAAATAAACAGAGACAAGAGAAACTTGCTTGAGATAGGATTTCATAAATTTTCAATATTTCCATATTTTTGGTAAAATTTCCTGAAGAACAAAAAAAAAAAACTTTTACTTGTCTTTATTTCTTTACTAATGTTTTAGCTGTGTACCATATAATTTCTGAATATTTGTTGGCTTCTGAAATGTTGAATCCTGTTCTGTGGGAGTGTATCTTCTTTGCTACACATCAAATCCAGTGCTTGAATCTCTGAATTCATGTCCTTCTGTGGAACATTGTGTGCCAAAATATCTTGGAGAGGGAACACCAAAAACAAGGAAATTAGTTCAAAGAAAACAACATACAGTGATAAAAAAAAAAAAAGTTTTGTTTTTAATTTCTGAGACAGCATTTTTTTTTTTTTTTTTGTAAAATACAAAAGTATTTATTTGCCATTGCTGAAACTCAAAATATGATCCACGTATTTATTAAATAGTGAGAAAAGAGAAAAAGGTTTTGGATGAAAGCCTTAAAAGTAAAATCTTGTTTCTAAAAAACATTCTTTCACATTTATTTCTAGCATTGTTTTTTTTGAAGAATGAAAATCTTTATGCAATCAATTTCTCATGATTCCAAAGAAATGGCATGGAGCACAATCAAAATATTCTCCATTCTGGAATGTTGTCTTTCTAAAGTATTTGCTCAGGTGGCCATATTTGGGCAAGTTTAAAGAATTCATCAGAAACAAAAAAATAAATTTTAATTTTTTTTTTAATAGAATGTACTACGTGTAATGCTTAGGGGAGATAACTCGTATTGTTAACACTTACTAGTCTTAATCACGTTTCTGTCCCTTGTCTGTTTCTTCCACTGAACCAGAATATGGTGGACTTTTCAGCATTACCAAGCATAGAAGTTGAACATGCAGCTGCCACTGAACCAAATATATTTAGCTAACACTTTAATCAAATAGGCTAATCATATATTGATGGGAAAAGGTTAGTTATTAACCTCTGTGGAATGAAGTCAAGAAAATAAACAAAGAACAACATTGGAGGATAAAAATGAAAGAATCAGTACACGTTAGGTACTGATGACCTTCTCAGTAGACCTAGCATAGAAATGACACAAAATTTTTACCATTAGGTTTAAAGTTCAGTGGGAGAAATGGACAAGTGACATAATTGTATTAATTGATGCAAGTGTATTTTCCTATAGAAAGTGGTATAAGAATTTACACTTTCAGATTGAATAAAGAGTTTGATTTAAAATTCCAGGGTTACTGAAGAATGGCCAAATGTGAGTATAACAATCAAGATGAGGATGCTAGTTTGAATGTAAAGGCATATACTAAGAAAGATTCAAAGTTCTATTTGCATTTAAATGCAACAAAATATAAAATCTCTTCAGTTTTTGTATAAAATTATATGAAAAATGACTCAATTATTTCTGAACTTTTGTAATATATTTATGTGTATATACGTATGGATAACTGAAGACTTATTAGTGTGTGTGTGTGTGTATATATATATATATATATAAGTTAACTATTTCATCATCCAAAAAGGCACTTGAATTGACTTTGCTTCCTAAATATGAGAATGATTTCACATACTACAGACTGTTGCTGTCAACAGTAATGGGAACAACTGGAAAGGTGTGAGCAGGTGGTTTTTGTTTTACACCCTTGACCCACTTAGGTGTAGGCCTTGGTTGATGGACAACTTGAGTTTTCTTTATGCTTATAGTTAATCTGAATGCGTTACAAGCAGTGGAAAAACAATTGATGAGTGCTTGAGCTTCTGCAATTGAGGTGGCCATGATCTCAGCATCATAAACAAACAAAAGATCATGAATAATGATTGCTCGTCAGCAATTTTGATTTAAAACGTTGGTGGCTAAAGAGGTCGCCACTTGTGCGGAATTCAAATTTCACACTCATGTCAAGATCACTAAAAGCATGGTGTAGTACGACTGAAAAGAAGAGAGCAAAAAGTACAGGAGCCATGACACTTCCTTGTTTTGTGCCATTTGTTACATCAAAAGTTTCTGAAAACTCTCCGTTAAATAGAACAGATGAATGAATATCAATGGCAACCAATGCCTTTGGGAAGCTTAAGCATCGCCTATAGGATTTTCACGGATTTCACTGAAAAACAAAAATCAGTGTCTATCGTGCAGTCATTCTGACCACACTTCTTTATGGGTCAGAATCGTGGATGCCATACAGGATGCACATCAATCAACTTGATGCTTTTTATAAATGCTTTCTTTGTTCAATATATGGTTATACATGTCAGGACAAAATCACTAACCCTGATCTTTTCATCAAATGTGGTGTTGGTGGTATTGAATCCTTTCTGATGAAATCACAGTTCAGATGGGCTGGTCATGTCTTCAGAATGAGTGATGATTGGATGCCAAAAATCCTCATGTATAGCCAACTTTTTCATCGTAAGTGTAACGTAGGTTGTCCTTGGTTACACTTCAAGGATAAACTTAAATACAATTTGCTGCAAATATCCCTATAGAGAAGTTCAAACTTGCTGTTGAAAACCGAGCAAACTGGAGAAATACCTGCTACTCAACCATCTGAGAGAATTAAGAATTAACACTAAATCTTGGGCTAATACATCAGCTCATATGACTGTCAACTCTAGTATGCCCTTCATGTGGATTTGTTTGCAAATCCTGTGCAAGATTGTTGTCTCATACGAAACATAAAAACTGAACTGAAATACACTCATATGTTGAAGACGACAGGAGAATCCATCAATATATATATGTGTGTGTGTGTGTGTGTGAAGCCTTTCCCCACCCCCCAAAAATCTGATGTTTAATCATTGGTTTAGATTTTGGGAAGTAGGTCAGTCATTTTGGGTGATCAAAATGATTGATATAACAAAATTCAGACAAGAATGAAATGAAATCCCACAAAAGAATTTTTGTTATGTTTACAGGGTTCATACAAGTCATGGAAACCTTGAAAAGTCCTAGAAAATTGACAGGGCTCTTTCCAGTGCTTAAAAAATCTTGGAAAAACAACAATAGCCCAAAATCTTGAAAAGTACTGGAATTTTCTAAATTGGGCTGCACTGCATATACATCCTTTTCATGAAGGTCAAAATGGCAAATCCCAGAAATCTTGATTTTTTTCAAGCTAAAACAGAAAAATGTTTTTTAGTTGTCAGTAATATTTGGCAATTGTGAACAGTGATTTGTTTCCTCGATTTAGAATTCATGACCTTGTAGTTATTTCTGTATTTTCTGTAGGTAACGAGAAAGAAAGGGATGAAAAATATGAAGGCATGAAATTTTAGCATAATCATGAAATAGTTAAGATTTGTAAAGGAAGAGCACGTTAAAAAGATAATTACATTTTCCAAACTGCATGAATTTGTAAGAATTGTCAAACCCAAGCATCCATAGAACAAGCGTAGATTTCTGGAAGATAGGGCTATGCAAAATTTATCCAAAAAAGGAAAAGTGCCAACAAAATATCTGTTTGCATGCAGAACTGCAGCAAAGACAATATTCATCATCATCATCATTGAGAAACTTCTGGCAAATTCTCCTCTTAGATACCCTCTTGTAAGGTCACTTGCATGGCTGAACCTTGGATCCATCTATGAAAAAACAAATTGCCACAGAAAGATGTTTTTCCCAAATGATGAACAGAAAACAAGTCAGCAAGTCTGATTGTGATGACATCATCAGTCAGTACAAAGAGTTCAGGGAGGAGACTGCTGGAATTATTGCTTTCAAGAATTTCAGCAAGCATGAAGACCATCTTTGCTCTACTCTTCTTTGTCTAGCAACAAAGAATGCCAAAAACTGTGGAAAGTTGTTTGCAGATTATTGGTACTCTCTTATGGACAGGCCTCAATGGAATGAGCCTTCTCAGTCAATAAGGGAATTTCCACTGACAATATGAAACAGCAGATACTGACTGTACAGTGCATTATCACGGACTATTTGGCCACAGTTGGAGGTGCTGGGAATGTTCCCATGACTAAGACTCTTCTCTGCAGTGCTTCCAATGCCAGAACTGCATACAACAAATATCTTAAGGCTGAGAAGAAAAAAAGGTAGATACAAGCAAGTGGACAAAAAAAAAACAGAAATCCATGTTTATGGAAATTGAAGAACTGAAGACCAAAAACACAAGTTTGAAAGTTGTACACAAGATTTGCTCAAGTCAGATGACAGCTATGCAGAGAAAGCTGACCAGACTCCGAACTTCACACTTATCACAAAATCCAATGTCATGCGAAAATCTGAAAAAGACATATCAATAGAGATATCAAAATTGCAAGAAAAGCTGAATGCTAAACTAGATGAACTGAAAAAATATTGTGTTCTGTGCCATGTGTAGTAGGGGGTAGTTAAAATGTGTAGTCATTTAGTGAAAATTTCTATTTCTGTTCATTATACTTAATTTCCTGCAGCCAAGAGTTTTTGTGACCTTCACAAACCATGAGTAATCTAGCTAACTGAAATGTGTAGAACTCCAAACTGTGTAGAATGCTACAGAAAATGTAACATTACTAGGTCTTCATTTAGTTGTATTTTAGCCTTCAACACTTTGATATCTTTACTGCTTTTAACTGATTCATGAGACAGGAATTATTGGAACTAGTTGTATCTTTTCTTTGAATATCTCATTTGTCAAACTATTAAAAAATAAAAATCACAAAGTTTGTGTTTTTGAAATTGATGACCATTGTGAGTCTCAGAAACTAGTGTTGAAAAATTTCTTGAAAAGTCCAGGAATTTTTTTTTTTTTACACAAATCTATGGACACACAGGTGTTTAAAGTTCTAGATTCTAAGGTCAAATCTTTGTATTGCTACCAAAATTCAGACCAGGGATTCAGTCTGATCCAACATTCTAAATACAATCTGTTACTAAACAAAGGAAACTCATGAATATCTTATTGAAAAACATGCAATAAATTGATGCTAGAGGTGCACAAACTTCTTAGATAAACGAGATGGGCAAAAAAGCACAAGACAAACAGGACTACAGAGACAGAAGATGACAAGGAGATAGGTCTGTTCATAAACCTTTCTCCCTCCCCCTTCTGTTGCTGTTGCTTCTACCACTAACTAACCCAAAGACACAAGCCCAGATAGACAAAAATACAGTGTTTAAATTCTTCAATTTATTTTCATAAAACCCATTGTTATTCAACAATAGATTTTGTTGGTTTGTGCTGTGAAATTGGTTTTCAACAGAGAAAGAAGATACCATGATGTGAAATTTCAATAAATGTCACATCTGAAATCTCAGTGGAATCCCATCAACCACTGGGTGAAAAACTTGTAAAATCTGGTTAACTTCCAGCTTGCTAATGTCAACATGCAGTGGCTCTGAAGATCACAAACATTGCCAAGTGATGACACCAAGAATAACTGTTTTTGATGGGTAGTGCTTAGGTAGAGAACAATAGACTGACAAAATAAGAGCAGAGGTGATGTTATAAAACTGCCAATCAACATTTGTTTAGAAGTGATTTATAAAAATAAATAAAAAATCTGTTCAAAAGAATAAAAGATCCTAAATTCTAGCCTAACAAGTAGATTATCATCCATTGACAATTCACCTGCACATGATGTGTTAGGAGTTCATGAGTTTCCTGGCTAAGAAATCCATTACAAAAATGAGCCATCTATCTTATTCATAAAAGCTAGATTCTCAATATAGTTTTTGGCTATTTCCAAAATTGAAAAGACAATATTGAAATGTATTTCAGACAAATTCAAAAAATGTTTCAAACAATGGCATCATTATCCCAACAAAGGAAATTGCTTCACAACTGAGTACTTTGAAGATAACAGTAGTCAATAGCAACCAAATAAGCATATTTGACTTTCACAGAGCCATTCCATGAATTCTGTATAATAAAATTCTATTTTCATATCAAAATACAATTTCAACATAGTAGATATCTATTTATATTTAATATCTTTTATACTTTAATTCCCATTGGAAATATGCCCTTAAATATTAAAAAAATATTGAAGAAAAGTGAAACACAGATTCAAATGCAGACACAACAATAAAACATTGAGAATTAAGAAATATTTCTGATAATTTGCTTATTTCACTTTTCAATTTGACAATTTTCCTTTAAGAAATGTCAAAAATTTGAGTTACTAAAATTTAAAATTATTCATGAAAAAAAAAAAAATGTTTATTTAAATCACTTACAAATAAAAGTTCTTAAAATATATTATCAGTTTATTAGAACAAACATCAAGATTGAAATTTACACTGGATATTTAAAAAATACAGCAAAATAAAGGCAGATGAGATTTTTCTTTTTTGGAAGTTGTTTTGACTGAACCGACAACTGATTTCTATGTGAGCTTTTTTTTGCAGTGAGATTTCACTTTAAAGTTATCATCAATAATTGATTTCCTTTAACTTACTGGTTATTTATTTGAGTTAATAGAAGATTTGGAAAAAGAAATCTGCAATTATTTTAGTTTACATAAAAAGCTCACATTCAGCCTTTTATGAAAAGTTGCTAAAAAAAGTTCTTGATCAAAACCACTTTTTAAAATCTGACTAAATGATTAAACATCAGATTGTTTTTAAATATCTTTTCAGCACCTTATAATTAAATTTTTTAATAAATTTGTGGAACATGACAAAGAAGGTTCTTCACTCTGAAAGTCTAAGAGCAAGATAAAAATATTTGGAGTCAGAAAAGAAACTGACTCTTGTTTGCCTTGCAATATGAAGACCTGGCAGAAATTTTATCATAGAAATAAATTTTAGAATAAATTAAACTTGATAAGTTGTTTTCATTTAAATAGAAGCAAGAATATTTCATTCTTTTAAAAACAAATTCTACAAAAAACGTTTCAGCAAAATTCCTGCTCAGATAAAAGAGAAAAAAAAATTCAAAGACATGAAACAAAAATTTTAAACCCATTTCTTGAATTAAAAATCAGACATGGTCAGAAATAAATGAACGTGTCATTGATGGGAGAAAGAGGAATGTATTGTGACAAACAGAAGCAGAGCAGAAATATCAGATCCTTTTATTGAAGTTGAAAAGAAGAGGAATACTGTGTGTGTGTCCTTCACTGAATAATTATGATGGCAGGGTAAAATACACTCCTCGTGGAATTTTAAATTCAGTTATGTATATAGATTTGGATTAAATTCTATGCACCGTTTCAGCATTGGACATTTTGGTGAAAATCTTTGACAGTAAAGTCCAGGTTTGAACATAAAAAAAAATTGAAAACTTACATGAAACTGAAAATCAATTCTATTATAAAAATAAATCGAAATTTGTATATTTAGTTTTGAAAATTTAGACAAAACAAAAATCATTTGGCAGCATTTAAAGCAAATAGGAAGACCAAATTTCTGCTCATGTTCGTACGTTTGTGAGAACATGATGTAATAAATTTCAAAAATAAAACAAAAGAAAAACTGAAAATAAATTTAAAGTAAAAAATAATACAAAAAAAAAAAATCAAAAACAACAAAACAAAAAGAAACTGTTTCTAATTTTTCACCAGGACAACAAACATTTAATGTTCCAAACGTTCATGTCTTTTGCAGACAGAGATGCTTACATGAAAATTTTAATCAATTTTTATACAAAAGTAATTTCTTCTTCTTTTTTGCAATTTTGGTGTTAAACATTTATGCAAAAAGGAAAAAAGAAGAGAATTAAAATAAAATTAAAAAAAAAAAAAAAAAAGACAGAAATTGCATTGAAACGTGTCATTTGGGATTTGCAGTCATGAGAGTGGAATGGGTATTTAGATTTTACCCAAGACTTTGTCTCATTCTTTTCTGATCTTTGCAATGAAAACAAAAGCTGTTAAGTGTTATATGTTTATCTGTTCCTTTAAGCTCTGGAATATATGCTGCTGCTCACTTGTACAAGAATATTCCATTGCCCAGGAAAGAATGTCTTCAAGAAGTTGTAATTTTTCCAAATGATCAAAGTCTTCACTTTTCTGAATCACATTCAATAAGAGTTGAGCAGTTGACAGCGGATGTGGAAAAAGAATCTGAAAGAAAACAAATGAAAATTCAAATAATAAAATCTCATAAATCAAGAGGTATTTGTCATATTTTGTATCATCGCAACATGATGACACCGTAGCACTCAAATTAATATCATTGCTGCCTTGAGCAATAGTTTTGTCTAGTTCACTTTCCTAACATCCTCAGACGTTACTAATATTTGATAATTTTTAATCTTCATAAATTTTAAAATTCCTGCTCTGAATAATATTTTTGTCATTTGATAAATAAAGAAAAGACAATAAGAATAAAATATTTCAGACTAGCACATTAAACCTGTCAAAAATGACATTTATGTCATAATCTGTATGTCTGCCTTGGATTGGAATACCTGTGTGCCCTGTCCACATTCAAAGTGTTATGAAAAACATTACACACATATGCACTAGAACTTGAAGATAGCAACCTAATAATGTATAGTTCCTAACTTTTCCTGAATAACTATATACAATATGGTCTGAAGTTTATGAAGTGTTGAAGTTGTTGCAAGGAACCAATTTCATATCCCCCACACACATGGATGGGAGGTCGCATTATTTTACTGGAAATAAATCATCACTACCACCACCAGGTAACATGGCAAGCTAATCTGCAATAAGATCTGTGTATGTCACAGCTGTCAAGATAGATTCTTGTTTCACTAGTGGTCCTTACAAACTTCACACATGATTTAAAGGGCCACCACTAGATCACACATTTGTTGACAGACTTCTTAACACAAGAACTTTATTTTATGCTCAAAAGAGTTGTTAATATGGCTCATCTGAACAGGTAACATGGCACTAGTCTTCTGTCAAATGGTGATATTTTCTGAACCAGGTGAAGCACAATAACTAATGTCATAATGATAACTTTGCTGGTTAACAACTATGAAACTACATTGAATGTAATCTGTAGTCTGTTAACTTGGGATGTCATTTTATTGCAATTCATTGATTTATTACAATCCATGTCTGTTGCCAGTCAAATGATGTTAAATAAAGTCAGCCTGTCTGTCTGCCATAATGGTCACAACTAAATTACCTCTTCATGTATTATGTCATTCAATTATGAGAGTATTTTTACAAAGAGGGGAGGAGGATTAAATCATTCAGTGTACTGCTGTTTTTAATTTTTTGCATTTTTTTAAATGAAATAGAAACTTAAAGCCTGGAGAGTCAAACATCTGAAATATATTCTCACATTTGTTTTGATTTAAGTAAGAAATAAGTTTTTAAAAATATTTAAAATGAATGAAAAAAGTTACAGACAAAATAATTGTTAGGTTGTATGAGACACTAAAAAACTGTCAAAAGGAATTCTTTATGAAATCTTTCTCACCAAGTTGCTTATAGAAAATAATAAAAAGATGTTTTCTTATAAATTTGCCTTCATTTATCAACAGATAGTTTTATGTAGGGAAAAACATGAGGTTTTTAATGAGGTTATATCAAAAGCATTTTCATTTTTTTTCTTTATTGTACAAACCTTAAAAGCTGATGTCATATACACATCCAAATACTATGACTGTGTTATTTTGTTAATATCATCAGCTATACTTTTGTTTCAGATCAAATATGAAGTGCATGCTAAAAAGCTCTTGGTTTGACCCACTTATCAAAATCTCACCATATGACAAAGCATCAGAATTTTTTTAATTCCTTTTTGCTGGGCTGAGAACTTTTAAGTAACCATCAGGATGGTGAATACAAAGAAAAACAATATTTGACTGTAGTTCAATAAAGTGGTTCAAGCAATTCAAACAGTGATTTATCTCTTGAAATACAGAAGTGCATGACAATCAGTTGTCAATTATAATATTTTAAAATGTGAGATACAGAAAATCCCAACCAACAGCAGTAGAAAAGTTTCAGAAGTTAGGCTCATCAAAAGATATGATGTAGAGATCATTGTATAAACTTAAAGAAGCAGAGTTGATTAAAAAAAAATAGAAATACTTTTGATACACTGGAATAGTTTTATCCAACTTTTTAAAATGTAAACATTTTCTCACCTGCGTTGGATTCTCTGGTCCCTGTTTTAATTCTGACATTACTAAATCTTGTTCATCCAGCAAAATGCCCATGTTGATGCATTGTTGACCATATTTCTTATCAACAGGCAAATCATACCATGAATCAGGAACATTGATGTATTTCTTATGCAAGGGACACACCTGACTGCGAAGAGGTGGATCATCCTTCCATAAAATTTTACGTGGTTTAGTTGCAGAACGATAAGATTCCTCATCTTGACAACATGGGGAAGAGCAATGCGAAGACGGCAATAAAGAAGACACATTTGATGAAGGGAAAGAAGACTGTTTGGAAAGCAGTTCTTTTACAAGTTGGGGTGAAGAAATTGTTGTTTCTTCATTTGGGGATGGGTTTGATGGGGAGGGAGATGATTCATGTCCTGTGGGGATCAGGTCAGGTGCTTGCAGACGTACTGCATCTTGTTGGAGTGACACTGACCCTTCCTCTATCATGTTCACCTTCTCACCACTTGAACTATTTACATATTTAACCGAATGGTTGGAATTGCTGACCTCCAAGTCGACAGGCGTTGTTTTAGCAAGTTCATTTTGTGGTTTCTGATCAAGAAGTAGTCGGGAGATTGCTTTATGAATGTATCCCAGTTTTTCTGTAAGAGCAAACCGTTTTCCTTGGATGTCCCACAAGATGCACTTTGATAAAAACCTAATTTTGTGAAAATCCAACCTATAATCTACCCTCAGCATCAATTGTATTTTACAATAATTATCAGAGTTCTGGTTAGCAATCTCACTCAATAGAGAGTCATCGTTATTTGCATCTGTATTATTATTGTTGTTGTTGAGTTCAAGATTTGCTTGATTAGAAATCCAATCAGAATTTTCCACATCCAACAAATTTGTCTGATTAAAAGAATTATCATCTTCAGTTCTGGGACTTTTGTTGTTGATAATCTTTGGCAGTGACTGTGACGAAATGAGCGTAGATTCAGAATTCTGTCTGTCAAGAAGATATCGCAAGACACCGATATAGTAATAGGCACGCACACAATCAAGTTCCCTACAACGGAGACCAGGATTAGAGATGCTATTGTCTTCCTTGAGGTCAGATAAATAACGTTTAGTTGTGTTCAGTTTAAGAGTAGAGTCCAATTTGGAGACATCATCATTTTTATCAAGGTTGACCAATACTCGTATTGCCGTGACTTCTTGTTGCAATTTCAAAAAGTATTTTGGTCCTGAAAAGATATACAAGTATATCAGTTTGGGTGTTTCTTGTCATATCAGATTCATGACACATAAAAGATGAGAAGAACAAAAAGAAAAAAAACATTTCAAATAATAACATTTTTTTAAAAATCAGAACTTAAGCAGTGACTTTTAAGATATCAAGTGGCTTCAACCATTATCAAGAAAGAGAGAAATTAGATTAAATTCTCTTTCTTGAAAATGACTGAAGCCAACTGAAAAATTGGAACATTAACAAGAACTAACACAAACTGTGGATAATTTCAGACACACACAAGATTGCTACAATAGTTTCTGCCATTTTTTAACAAAATCATAGCAACATTATTCAGTAAAAAAACAAAAAAAACATTTCCTCTTTTTATGATCTTATACCACCTTTCAGGCTAGTCTTGCATTTCACAATAAAAGAACAATTCTAGTTTTGATTCAGTGAATTTTTCAAGTTTTTCTTTGAATTTGTTGGAGTTGCTTATCAGCCAAGATATAATATACATTGGCTGGTATGTAAGTCCAACAATGCAGCAAAAAAAAAAAATGAATTGACTAAAGGAAGAATTCTGCTTTTGAGTTCCATCATTGTCTGTTGCATCACATGTGCAAAATGAGAACAAGTATAACCAGGAAGCAAGATCACCGACTTCCTGGTTCAGAAAAATTGTTTTCATTGAATTGGTTGATTTTCTACAAATTCACATGTTCTTTGTGAAACATTTTCATTCTAAATCTTCATCAGCTTTCAACTGTTATTGTTTTCCAAAGAGTTCTTTCTAAAACTTTATAAACCATTCTCCACACATGCTTGCACCTACTGCATTATTATCATCAACTTCAGTAAACCAGTGCAGAGATTCTGTTGCATGAAGAGTAAACAGTTTCAAATATGCATTTGGTATTCACCAAAAGAAAGTAAAAAGATAATTTTCTTGCAATCTATTAAAGAGGATGTTTTCACAAGTAATAAAGAAATAAAGACACTTCTAAAACTTCCCTAACATTAGGCAAAAGATAAGATTGGGATTATAGAGATTTGTTTGGTATATGGCCAATAATATGTGAAAAATTATAGCCAATTTTCAAAAGACATAAATTCAAAACAGTTACTGAAATTTTCAGCACCAAATCTAATTCATATAATTTTAAATATATTTAATTTCAACAATACTTGTCAATTTATGTCTCCACACTGCCTACATCCTAAAATAAAAATGATAGTTTGTTGGAGAATAGTTATTTCCTTTTAACCAATCCAGTTGATATCACCACTCATAACATACATGATTATGGTCATCTGCAACTTCTCTTTTGTTGTTCTCGGCAATACTCATTCTTTTGTTTTTATTGTATGTGTTCCTCTATGCGTTTGCTGAGGCTTCTCTGGCTTTCAATGTGCCATGTTAGTATCAAATTCTCCAAAACTTCTTACCTCATTATATATCCAAAATATCCCACCTGTTCCTTTCTGACTGCTAGAAACAGGATTTTTGGTAGTTATTCTCCTTAAAACTTCTTCATTTGTCACATGTTCAAATCCATTCTATTCTTACCATTTGTTCACATTTCACTTGCTTCAAATTTGTGAGGAAATTGCCAAGCCATTCACTGCTATATAAGAAATTAGGAAATACTTAACACTCCAGCGCTTTTTCCTAATTTCATTTTTTCATCTTTTTATATCTTGCTCAGTTTCTGAAAAAGTATCTTTTATAAATTGCACCTTCAGTTTACGGTGTTGCACTTCTCCACTTCCCTAATCAGATTGAAATATTTCTACACCTGCTTGATTTTGACTTACCTAGTGTGTAACTCCCATTTTTTGCCCACAACTGTTCCTTCCATCTTCTTACAACTGATTTTTATTCCATTCTTTTTGCCTTTAGTGACTTCTTTGTTTCATAAAACTTTCAGTTTTCATTCTGCATCAATACAGTATCATATATTTAAATAATTGCTTTAGTAATATTTCATATTTACAATATGTCCGGTTACGTTTTTACAAATGGTAATACAAGATCAGACACTGTGATGAATAACTCACCTTGTGGAAGACACAATTGAGAAATAACCTGAAGTAACTCAAACTGTCCGACATCATGAAGGCTGGACATCATCTGAAGGAGGTGCTTTATAGCAGAGGTTGTTTCTGCTTGTAACAAGGCCAGAAGACAAAGGGTCAGATCAATGCAGTTCTGGATCATTAACTGAAAATCAGTTAGAAAAATGGTTAGATTTCTATGCATACACAAACAAAAAATGACACATTTAACAAAATATCCTTAATCTTAAAAGATACAAAAATTTAGTGATTAGTTTGATAGATACACTATCAATTGTTCTTTTTTAACCAACATTGGAGTGCATCATTCAGTGGCCTCAATTCTGGAAAACATCATGTTTTTTGGAATTGAGGCTAATTGAATACATTTTTCTTGTTTGAAAAAGGCTTTTTTTTAATTAAATCAACGGAAAAATATTTTCCTTCACACACACACTATATCATTAAATGATAGTCTATTTAGGACATGTAGCATTTCATTTTTTCCTTGGTTATTGAAATTCCAATAAAAGTGATTGAAAAAAGTTTTTAAAAAACCACATCTTCTGAAAGCACAAAAAATAAAATAATTTGTTCTGATATAGCACAATAGTTACATCACATCATTTTAGAAGGGAGAAGGATTATAGATTGACAGTTATTTTTCGTTTCTTATTATTGTATGCCAAAAATTATGATAGACTTGTAATGGGACTGAATATATGGAGAGTTTGATCACTGCTTTTCCTAAGAGCATTAGTTAGTTTCAACCAGAATTTGAACTTTGCCAATTCCTGATTTCCAAGATATAATAGTTCTACTACTTTGAAAACTTTATAAAAACTAATAAAGTGCGGTTTGTCAGATGACAGTATTTTAATGTTGATAACTGACTTAAGCCATTTTCAATCATCAGATTTTGTCATTTCTGATCCATACTTCAAGTTGCCCCATCAGCATATAAATTTAAGTGGACATATATCACCATTGGGAAAGTTAACTCAATTACTTAACTTTTTAACAGAGTTTTGGAAGGATTTTTTATAATGATGGATTTATATTTGGAAGAATTTTAATTACAGTTTAAATTTTTCTACAAGAAATCAATCATGATGTAAATTTTGAATGACAAAAGTTGGCATTTAAAACAGTTTAAACCTATTTTAAACCTGCAAAAGTAATTTTTATTTTATTTTTTACAATTAACTTTATGCTATTATTTTAATTAATGCCAAAATTAAAACTAAAAGAGTAAAATTATTGCAAAATATTTAAGATCATTTCTACAATTTATGTCTATGGTTCATACTGGGTTGAAATACCATTTTATACAGATTTGTTTTAAGGTGATGTAGATAAAATATGAAAGTATACCTGATCTAACATTGGGAGATAAGAATAAAAATTAGTGCAACATGTTTTATAATAAAATAATGGACAATGAGGTATAAACAAAAACTTCAAATTCTTGAGATCCTCTATATCAAAAGCAAGCAACCAAACTGAACAAAATTTACTACAATGTTTTAAAATGCATTTGAATTGACTAATATTTAAAACCATGTTGCATTTTACCATCTCTGTTTACCTCCCATGTATTGTGAACACTTGTTTACAAAACATCATAACCACAACAATTAAGTTTAAAATAATTATAACAGAATGTATTCACAAAAAAATCACCATCAAAATGATTACATTTACATTAAGTTTGTCTTTGCAATTCACACCTGAGGATGATCTCAGAGGAGATAAAAATATACTTGGGTTAACATAAAATACAGCACTTTCCTTGATGATTTTCAACTTAATATCAAGAAGATAATTAGAGAACTAGAAAAGATTAGTATAAAAATATATATATATATATATATATATTCCAAATATATCATTTAATGAAACAGGCTTGAATGAAGATATATGTATATATATATATATATATATATATATATATATATATATATATATATATATATATATATATATATATATATATATATATATTATATATATATATATATATATATATATATATATATATATATATATATATATATATATATATATATATATATATATATATATATAATATATATTTTATATATATATATATATTATATTATATATATATAAGATTGCACTGATTAATCATTTTTTATGAATAATCAATTTCCATAGTCAGCTATCATTGTTTATTGCATCACAGAAATTTCATCCTTGGCTTAAGAATCATCAGTTATTTTAAATATGGAATGAATTTAGATAATTTCATAGTTTCATTTTTTGTTCTTTCTAATCTTTATTGAGAATATTATATCATCTGCATAAGCCAATGCAAGGGAGATAACTATAAAGCCAAAAGTAACAGATATCACAGGGTGTTAAATAGTAAGCTTTATATATGAGAAGTTATGAAAGATTCTCAGTCCAACAAGGAAGGTAATTAAAATTTAAAAAAAAAAACAAAATTCGGTTCAGTCATTTGGTTAGATTCAAGATATTTTCAGCATATTCCTTTATACCATGTTGCTGCAATAACGCACATATGACAGTGTTTCTGCAAGCCCTATAAATTGCAGCAGGCAAGTTAATATTTTAAGCTTTAAGAAAAATCTCACAAATACAAGGACTGAACCCCCACCCCACAAAATGCTAAATTTTACTTCAAAGTAGTAAACAAAAAGAACAGGTTTCTAAAAATTTACTATGCATCACTTGTGATAACTCCTCAAGGTTGCCACAATATATTTTCTATTTAAAACAGTATTGGTGAACAGAGAATATATAAAGGAAAATAAATTATAGTTATATGAATACTCCACCCTTTGTTTTCAACAATAAATCAGAATAAAGCAAGTGGAAACAGAGTGGGGTGGTTCCACCTAAATGACAGGTTTCACTGAGTTACATGCCAGACTAACTTCTATGTCACAATATTATGGTAATTTATTTCTTACCTGGTCAGTTTTAAGCATGTTCTGCCTATTTGAGATGAGAGTGTTCAGTGTGCTATACATTTCTTCAATGTTACTGTTGCTGCTCAGGTCAACATTCATGCAACTGTGCCACATTCGCAAAACATAATTCAGAAATGTATGATTGTTGATCAAGAATGGTTTCCAAGGGCACAATGGATCCATATCACAACTGTCAAGAATGAAATCTGATAAAAAGAAAATATTCATTGCAAATTAGTAATAAGAAAATAGAAAACAAAGAATAATACAATTTACAGAACCAACATATTTTCAGGTTTTGTTGGAGACTCACTAAGAATCAATTGTTTAGCCCAATGATTAGAGTAGAAGATTATAAGTTGAAAAGTCCAAAGTCCCACATTCCAAAGGTGTTTGATAACTGTTGCTACATTTCCATACTTCGGAAAAGAAAACCCTGATATGAAAGCAAGGACAAAAGACTCCTCAGTGATCAAGTGTCATACAACACTTTCTGCAACAACCAGAGTGGTTTTCTAATAAAATAAATCAGCCATTGTAGGTCATGTAATGCCAAATTTAGTTTTTATATATATATATATATATATATATATATATATATGACTTGTAAACGTCTATAAGCTATATAAGCTAGAGCTTATTTGCTTGCACACTGCAAAATAATTCCAGGTATTACTGTCTAGGACAAGGATTTCCATTTAGAATAGACAATTTGTTTGCACAATGTTAAAAGGTAGCATATATTAATTACACATCAGACTACATCCTTGAGAAAAGACCAATTCTTTTCAGTAAGTTTATTATATGACTTGGATCAATTTTTATAAATAGTTCTTTTGTACGCTTAATGTTGTAGAACTTTCTTCAAATGTGTGTAAGGTTTGTGCATTCTACCAGTATATGTTTTACTTTGTATTGGTTTCCACAGGGACATTTAGGAGGAGGCTCCCTTTCTAGTATGAAGGAGTGAGTCAGTCTAGTATGTCCAATGCGTAGCCGAGTAAGGGTGGTTTCTTCTCTTGTATTATTAAGATTCAGTTTCCTTTCTTTTAAAATGGGTTCTATTTGGTAGAGCTTATTGTGGGTATTTTTGTCCCATAGTTGTTGCTATTTTTTAATCATTATTTTCTTAATTTTATGTTTTAGGTCTGTATATGGGATTTTGGAATTCTGGTTGGATGTCATGTTAAGTGCAGCTTTTGCTAAGGAATTGGCTTTCTCATTTCCCTGAATTCCAATATGACTTGGGATCCAGCAAAATATCACCTTTTTATGTCTTATGGAGTTGATTTTGTTTAAAAGTTTGACAATTAAAGGGTTATTCAGTTTTGTATTTTTTATAGATTGTAGGACATCGTCGGTATGGATGATGAATTTTTTTAAGTTGCTTGCACAAACAATCTTAAGTGCTAATTTTATTGCATAGATTTCTGCAGTAAATATGGAAGCTTCTTTTATGAGGCATTTTTTCATTTCCTTACTGAAAACTGCTCCACATTCGGTTCTATTGCTGTCTTTGGAGCCATCTGTGTAAATGTGCGAGCAGCTTGGGTATTTTCCCTGAATATTGAAGAGTTTTTCCTGGTAGGTTAATGGGTGGATTTTATTTTTAGGGAGCTTGTTTAAATCAAAAATAATCACAGGCTGCTTAAGTAGCCAGGGTGGTAAGCTTATTTGAATGGTATCATGGATGTTTGTGATTGGAATATCTATGTCTTCCACTATGGGTTTCATATGGAGACAAAAAGGTTTTATGGCCTTTACTTTTTGATCAAATAGTTTTTGGTGTTGAAAATGCAGTTATAGGCTGGATTGGTTGGTTGCAATTTAATTTTACCGTAGTACTGTATACCTAGTTTTTGGAATCTAAATTTTAGTGGTGATTCGTAGGATTCAGAATAAAGGCTCTCCACTGGGGATGTGCAAAATGCCCCTAAAACAAGTCTTAATCTTTCATGGTGGACTGTATTTAGTGTTTTCAGGTAGGATTTTCTGATTGCTCCATATATGTAGCAGCCATAATCAAGTTTTGATTGAATTAATGTTCTATATAGTTTTAATAGAGTTTGCTGATCTGCACCCCAATCTTTGTGGGCTATTACACAAAGTAATTTTAGGGTTTTGTTGCATTTCTCTTTCAGATATTGTAGATGTGGAATGAAAGTTTTTTGTCAAAAATAACTCCCAGGAATTTATACTGGTCAACTACTGGAATTTCTGTTCTGTCTAGCTTCAGTGTTGGGTTGTTATGCATTTTCCTTAATTGACAAAAATGCACGCATTGTGTTTTGTTTTAGAGATCTTGAAGCTGTTTATGATAGCCCATTTGTTTATTTTGTTGATGCCCTGTTGTAGTTGACGCTCTGCTGTACGCATGTATCTGGATGTGGAGGTGATACAGAAGTCATCAACATAGAAATAGTTATCAACTCCATGATTCAGACAATTGGTAATGCTATTAATTTTAATGTTGATTTTGAATGTCCGACAGGGTAGAACCAATTTGGACTTGGAATTTCCTGTCAGAAAGAAAAGATTTTATGAAGTTTGGTAGTCTGCCTTTCAATCCCATGTCATGTATGTCTTTCATGATCCCATACCTCCAAGTGGTCTCGTATGCCTTTTCTAGATTGGAAAAAATGGCTAGAAAGTGTTGCTTTTGAACATTTGCCTCCCTTATGGAGGTTTCCAACCTGACCACATGACCCATTGTAGAACTTTGGTTTCTGAAGCCGCATTGGGAGTTGGTGAAGAGATTATTCGATTCAATGTACCAAACTAACCTTTTATTCACCATATGTTCCATAGTTTTCCACAGACAACTGGTCAGTGCTATTGGACAATAATTTGTTGGATAAAGATTGATTTTCCCCAGTTTATGAAAGGGGATGATGGTGGCTAGTTTCCATGATTCTGGGATATTACTATTTTCCCAGATGTAATTAAATGCATTTAATAGGTAGTCCAATGATTTTGGAGTTAGTTGCTTAAGAAATTCATAATGAATTTCATCTGGGCCAACTGCAGCGTTGTGAGATTTTTGTATGGCTTCTTTAAATTCTGGTAATGTGAAGAATCCATTTTAGTTTTCAGTGTTGTCTGAATTGAAATTTAGCTTCTGTTTTTCTATTTTGCCTTTGTAGTTGTAAAATTCTGTGTTAATGTCAGAGGAGGAATTTGCCGAGAAGGTCTCAGCCAGTGTATCGGCAATATCTTGAATATTTGTGACCTCATCATTATTTTTAATAAGGTGTTTGATCGTAGTAGGTTGGTTTTTCCCAGCAATTTTCTGGATCATTTTCCATACTGTGGTTGTCTTGGTAGAGGAATTAATTTGATTTACATAGCTTTGCCAGGTAGTCTTTTTGGCCAGGTTAATTGTTTTCCAGGTTTTTACTCAGAGCAATTTGAATGCGTTTAGGTTACTGGTAGAGGGCTATTTATTGAATTTGCGTAGGGCAGCATTATGCAGTTGGATTGCTATTTTGTATTCATTATTAAACCAGGGTGTGTTGTATCTGTTTGATGGAGAAGTTTTTGATATGGTTTCATTTGTTATTTCAATTAGTGTTTGTGTAAAGTGTTTTATTGGATCTAAACTTTTTGAATTTTGGACCAGTCTTGTATTGCACAATGTTTTAAATTGTTGCCAGTCAGCCTTATTTATTTTCCAGTAGGGAGGTCTGTTATTATCCCTGATAGGTTGAGTAATTTCTATTATAATGGGGAAATGGTCACTGCCACAAGGATCATCATGAACCTTACACGTATAATCCATGTAACTTGATAAGGAGATGTCAATAGCAGAATAGGAGTCGGTATATGGATTGAGATATGTTGGAGATTTATCATTCAAGATGCAGAGGTTATTGCTATTGATTATTTTTTCCTTACGGTTAGTTTTCAGACCTCCCCATATGGTACTATGACTGTTAAGGTCACCTAATAATAGGTGAGGTTTAGGAATTTGTTTTATTAACTTTTATTATACACCTCCAGAAGCTCTGTGTCTGTCTTTGTGTAAGTGATTTATGAATTGTAATTTTTAATGTTTAGATGGTTGGTGTCCTTGAGGAATGTTTCTTGAAGGCATACAACTTTGGGGTTAGGGTTTATCAAAACGAGTATTCTTCATAATTGGCTCTATTTCCTCTGCAGTGAAATTGGATTATTTGCATTTTCGTTATGTTAAATTGTTTTTCCTAGATTTGTTTATATAGTTTGGCTCTTCCATCTCCATTCTTTCTATCAAGCTAAATCTATTTTTGGTATCAACCTTTGATATTGATGATTCTGTAGACTGGCTTGTTAAATTCGACAACTTTAAACGTTCCTGTGAGGATGAAGTTGGAGTATTGTCTATTTTGGATTGTGGGGAACGTTCAGCCTTATCATTATTTGGTTCAGGGTTTAATGTTTGATTTTTCCCAAGATTGTAAATTTTATAAGTAGGAGGACGGCTTGATGATTTTTGCGACTTTTATTTCTTAGGAGAAGTGTTTTGTGTCTGCACTGTTGTTTTTGAAGTTGTTTTAGTGGAAGATTTCTTTTGTCTGCAGGATTACTATGAGTAGGTGGTGTTTCTGAAGCTGTAGTTGTATTATTTTTGTCAAGTTCACACAAGGGTTTTACCGTATTAATAAAATTTCCCAGTCACCCAAATCCAGCTGAATTAATGTTTTGAAAAATTCTTCATATTCGTTCTGTTGATTTTTTTCCCTGATGGTTTACTTGGGAATACATGGTAGTGTTAGAAACTATTACCATCTTTCGTGCTTCTTGGTAAGGAATGTAATTTTTGTGCTTTATTGATAGAATTTCCTTTTCCCTTCTCCAACTGTCGCAAGATCTTGTGTAGACCAGATGGTCACCACTAGTTAGCACATTTATTGGGAAATTCACATTCATTCATGTAATGGTCAGGATCTTTTCAGCCACATTTCCCAAACACATCTCGTCTTCTACAAGTGTCTTCAGGATGCCCATATTTTTCACATTTATAACATCTCAGAGGGTTGGGCACCCTCTCCATGGTATAGCCTACTGTAATTTTCTCTGGTATTTTCAGTGAGTTAAATGTCATTATATAGGTGTTTGTTTCTATTGTTTTACCTTCTTTTTTGTTGAAATTCGTTTAACATCAATGACATCTTGTTTTTTAAACTTTCTTAATTTCTTCTATTGTACATAGAGATAGTTCTTTGCTTCTCACAACCCCCTCACTTATGTTCAGGGATTTGTGAGGGTATGTTTTTACTGGAACGTTGTGGAACAGTCATTTTCAGTAGAAAATCTGCATGTTTCTTCTTTTCCACTTCGACAAGTAGTGTCCCATTTTTCAATTTCTTGACAGTTAAAGGTGTGAAGTTGCCTGATATCACCTTTTCCATTATAAAGGGAGATAAATTTGTGATCAATGAGCTACATGACTCTATAATAACAAATCTCAGAAAGGATGATTCCGCTTCATTATCTGAAGAAGAATCAAATTCTACATAGTTGTGTTTAAGGTTTTTATTTGGAGAGGAAGCCATAAATGTTTTTATGTTTTTCGCTGGTCCCATCCTCCACCACCACCCACCACCACTTTGATTTATCCCCAACTTATGTTGGAGATAAATCAAAGAGGAAACTCATTCACCTTGGCTGAGACGGGGATACAAAACCAGTAAACTTGTGCCAAGAGTATGATTCTGAAACTCTATCAAACGCACAACAGTCTAATGTTGGTCAAAAGTCATATCTCTCGACACAATTGACCCTCATCCCCCGCCTTCTAGCATATATAATAGAGGGCTGGGAATAGTTCCACAAGATCAGATCGATAGTTCTACATGAGCAGACTGTATAACATGATTAGGAGAAAATAAAAACAAATATATGTGCTAGGGCATGTCGGGACCAGCCAATTGATCGGATTTGGCCTCTCTGACTGACCATCTAGCCCAGGTAAGGGGCAAAGTGGAGTGTTGCAGTGACATGGCCGCTTTTTCCTGGGTCATAGATTGCTCAGCCACCAGGATCCCGTTTCCAGGCATTATGGGTTGTCACCCACAGCCAACAGGTGGCCCCATTGAGAGGCTTTTACTCTTTGCAGAACATCACTGACAATGCCCTCTAGTGCTAAAGAGCATATATTCAAAGTAGTATGCGCGCACACACACACACACAGAGGACCTGAGTTACAATGGGATTGCTTTTTTGAGTATGAGATATTTTTATCAATGGATGTTAAAGGGGACTGGATGTACCTATTGATGTTCTTAATGTTTTAAAAGGGTGCTGAAAAATTAATGGCTCAACTCACTTTCCAAAATCTGACCAAATTGTCGTGGAGGTAATGGAAATATTTGTGCGTGCATGTATATCCACATCTATTCACTGAATCTTCTTGAAATAAAGAAATGGATATGATTGCATAATATGCTAATTGAAATGTTAATTTATTCTTGACACTCACAATTACTTTTCATTTTTTTTATAAACCTGCTGAACAAGATACTTTCCAGAAACAAAAAAGAAATATCTGATTTCCCTTTGTGTATTGAGTTTAAATCATTTTACTTATTTTTCTTTTCAACAAAAGATTTTTTCAAATAACAACATAAAACAAGGCAAAAATTGTTAAAAGCTAAACAACAAATGAAAGATGTAAATACATGCCAGGAAGCTGGGTTTTTCCATTGTCTGAAGAAGCAGTTTTTATTTCAGGAATCACAAACCCAGGATTATCTTTTACATAAGCAGCATTTGGCATCAGAGATGCTAATACTGACATCATTAATTCATGCAGGCTGGTGACAAGTGTAAAAACCTGAAATTGTCAAAAAATAGAAATTTTATTCAGTTGGTAAAAACAAAGATTAAAATAAAATAGTTTTTAAGTCTGACTTAAATTATTAGAAACTGAAGTGAGAATTTTTTTTATCCTGTCTACTTTAAAATAATTACTAAACAGATACATGTAAAGCAGACTTTTCAATAATATTTCACAAGTTAAAAAAAAAAGTATTGACAATTACAAGAGTTCTACTTTTCAGGAGTTAACTCATGGGAAGCTTGCATTTTTATGTTCTTATTTATTAATTTACTGACATATCTCCAACATATCAATGCTAAATACAGTTTATGTATTTGTAGATGATGGTTTTTTATTACAAATCCATTCAGGATCTCTTCTTGATTAGAATTTTAGGCTTCCAGTACAAAATAATATTGTATCTTTACTCAAATGTTGATCTGTTATTCTAGAAAAAAATATTTTTACCCCAAAAGTCTATCTTCCCTAATCTTGGACAATTATTGAAGGACTAACCAGCCTTTTAAACAAGAATGAAGGAAAATGACAAATTTTTTTTTGCCAAAATTCAATCTTAATTATGGTTTAAGATTGAATGCAAGTCAATTCAAAATTTTTATTTTACTTGAAATGAGGTATTGTATTAATGTCTATATCCATATTTTTGTGTTTTTATTAAAATATTCTGATGCATTCACTGGCTGCCTTCACTTTGTACACAGAATCTGGTAATATTTAAGGATAAAAATGAATAAGATTTTTGTATTTCTGAGAAAGTATTGACATTATTACTTACTAATTTTTCATTTTGCTGTAATTTTTTTGCTTTTATTGTGATTCTACAACTTTTAAGCAAGCAGTACCAATTAGAAATAATGAAGTTGTTTCTGGTTAGATTTGAACTTACATCCATTACCCTTAGAATTGCAGAGTTTTTAATTACAATCTGTGTAACTTACTTAAAAATCAGAGCCTAACAATGTCAGAGTTGTTATAAAACGAGGAATGTAATAAATTTGGGTATGTAATACCCGACAGAGTTATAAGTTACTGACATTTGGAAAAACATGCATGAAAGTATGATTTGAAAATAATAACCAATAATGCATTTTGCCTACATGGCTTCATCAAATGGATAATAAAAAATGTGTTGTCTGTGTATGCATTTGTGTGGGTTTAAAATAATTAAATAAACACACACAAATGCATAAATACACACACAATGCATTTTTTGCTATCCATCTGAGGAAGCCATATAATAGGTGAAATGCATTATTGGATATTATTTTCAAAACATACTTTCATGAATGTTTTTCCAAATGTCAGTAATTTAAAACAAGGAATATAAATAAGATGAAATAAATACTTGTAGAAATTAATAATAATGAGAATATTAGTCTTAATAATGATATAATAATTTATTTTTATAGAATATTTAATATAATGAATGACTGTATTTTACACACCATTTCTTTCTTATTTTTATGAAAAATCTTTCTTTCCTTTAAAGCAGTTCATAAAACTTTCTCAACTTTTTGTTTCTTCTTAGTGTTAAATTTTTGTTTTTAACAAAATAAAAAAAATAAAAATTGACATTGATTTATTTTAATAAGTAATGTAAAAAAAATTATTTAAAAACTGCATCCATTTTTCTTAAAAGAAAATAAAATAAACACACTTCAGTAAGTTTTTTGTTTGTTTATAAAACTAATCAAAATTCAATAGTTACCTCCCTTAGAATAAGGATGCACAAAACTAAACTTAATGACAAAAAAAATAAAATAAAATAAAATAAAAAGCAACCCTGCATTAGTAACATTTCTCAATATTTTTTATTTTTATTTGATAAAATATTTCAAAACAATTATTTTTTCTTTTCAAGATTTATATTCTAAAGATAGCCATCACACATTTAAATAAAGCTTTGGGAAGAGAAATTAACTAATAAAAATAAAAATGAATAATTATAAATTTATTTTTGATGTAGATTTTATTTTTCTTTACAACAAAATTTGAAGTTTATATTTTTTTATATGAAAAGAAATATTTTTCTTTTGAATTCAATGGACAATTTCTTTGAAGTAAATTAGACAATTGGTTTTTCTGAGATAATTAACAAAAATATTATGGAAGCAAGTTAAGGCAACAAGTTATTCCCATCACAGATAAACTTTTATAATTTTAAAAATAATGTGCCTGTGGGGGTCAGGGGTTAATCTTTTATTCAGTTGCACAACAAAAAATTAACCCTTAATCCCACTGACACATTAGTTTTGTGAAAAAGTGAAGACATTTTTCTGCAAAAATGACTGTTTTTATTTCTTAACATGAAAATTGAAATGTTTAGCAGAAATATTTTGATCAAAATTGCTGATATCAAAAGATTAAAGTTTAAAAAAAATGTGGAAAAAACAGAAATACTTGACAAAGTTAAACAATGTTGATGTGTTTTTACAGAAGACATGCTTATATACATTGTCCAGCATTACGTAAAAGTTGAAATATCTTCCATATAAAAATTTAAATGAATGAAGATCACAGAAGAAAAAAAAAAAGAAGCAAAGTATATAAGGTTTTGTCCAGAAAATATTTTACCAGTTAATATTAATGAAAAAATAGCCTACATAGGGAAATGACACTTTAGTTTTCTTCAAAGTATTCAAAACAGTCTGCAAATTCCTTTCAGGATTTCCATCAATTGTTTCATTCCATTATTATCGAAGGCATTTCAATAGCATTTTAGCTTTTGGAAAAGCCAAATGTCACTGTGAGACAAATTTTGATTGTAGGGTGGGTGACAGAAAACCTGAATGATGTAATATTTTAATGAGATATAAAGAATCTCCTTGTTCAGTTACTGTGAATTTAATGGTGATACAATACACAAGTTTTCTCAATAGCATTTCACTGCTGGCTGAGTAACCTCACAGAAGAGTGTTTATGTATGTACAGTAAGGTCCCCTTTTCATTGGTTACCAAATTAAATCAAAGTCATGCAACCGAGTGTTGAGAGATTGATATTTTATGGAAAGACTTTGTATGTATATTTCTTCAAATGCAACATATCATCAAATACAGGACATTGTGATGTGCAATCTTTTGAAAATAAAAGCATGAATTTTAATGATTCCTTGTGCTGCAACCAAGTGTTTTTTTCCTAAAATGAATCCAAACTTGTAAACATCCTAATTGAAAGAATTGTAGACAACAAAATAATAGGTTAAAATAAGTTGAAAGCTCTGTGGAAAGCAGTGAAAACAACATTCTGATTGCTGTTTTTATGGTCAAATATATTTTAGAGCTCCTTAACAGAAAAATTACATGGTTGTGTAATAAGATACCACTTACTTAAGGTTGGCTGTTATAAAGATTTTACCATTGTAAGCTTAAAGTACATTCAGAATAGTGATAAGATAATTCATACAATAAACAACATAGACAACATTTAGCAGTATTCATTAGGATTTCCCACTATAGAATTTGACATTTGTTAGGATCCCCTCTATAGGACTTGATATTCTCATTATACACTGATTTATTCAAAATATTATCTTCCTCTTGTTGTTTTTATATTCACAATACCCTTCATCCAACCGCTGCTGTGGATTACATTCAGTAATGTTTTTGGAATTTTGAACTGAACCCTTCATAGTGCAAGAATAGACACCTGAAGAAGGTCAGAGAGTAAAAGGGCTGAAATATGAAAACTAAAACAACGAAGATGAGGAAATAAATCAGTGAATAATGATAATTCCTAATCTTAGAAATTCAGACAGAAAATTGACATTTTCAATAATTGATCAACTGTAAACTTGAACTTCAAATAGAAATGTTGAGATGATCTCTTTCAGTATTTATAACTGGATGTATGAAATTGTGTAACTTTTCATTTAAATTTTGAATATGGCATTTTTAAAATTTATATACAAAAAAGATTAAAAAAACAAAATAAAGAACAAGAGAAAAAAACTAGTTTGAAATGAAAAAACAAAAATATCCCAACAAAGAAATATTCTGATTTTAAAATAATAGTCTTACCTTAAGATTATGATGTTCTTGTGTAAAGTTGTAAATTTCTTGATATTGCATCTTCTGCAAATATTGACAGATAACCTTATGTGCTAACAAAAATCCATTTTGCTTTTCTGAAGCAATCAAACTTATGTGGGCAGCTGTACGCAGACAGATGGGGTCATTACGTTTACTAAGGCATCGGCTTGCATCTTTTACCTGCTTAATTGCAAGAAAACTGGGAAAAAAACAAACAAAAAAATAAAATATTTTAAGTTAAAATATTACCAGTGAATAAATGGAAGTACAGATTTATTGATGAATAAAAAAACATTTTACAAATGTTAATATATTTTTGGTCTAATATCTTTAACAAATAGTGTATTAAAATAAGTTGGGGTGGGTGTAGATGTCAGGTAAAAATCTAAATTTTGTTGCAAAACTTTATTTTCTTGTTTATGATCAATACTTCCTGAATATTAAATATTTTATTCAGCCTTAAATGATTATGAGGTTTTTAAAATTGTTTGATGATGCAGAAAAAGGTGACACAAAAAATTATATAAAAATACATTGCATTTTATAGACGTGAATTATCCTGAACAAATTTCATTTAATTTCATTATATATTTTGAAGCAAATATAGGAAATCTTCATTCATGCTGTATATTTGTATTAATTTAAACTGTTGGGAATCTGAATATTACATTTGAGGTTTGTGTTGTTAGAGAGAAGACAGCTGAATCTTTATATAAATATTTGCTGGTTGATTTTATTTCTGAAAATTAGCAACCAAATTTCTGACTTTTACCTGAGTTTGAACACTGCTCTTTGACACCATTATGATATATACAATAAGCTGAGCTCAGTACAAGACTTAATTGAAAAAAGATGGAATGCATGGTTGTGTGCAAATTAGACAACTTACACATTGGGGACATCAAAATCAAGCAGGTATAGAAATCCAACTGAGTCATGTAATAATATACTGATATATCAAAAATATTAGGGTGCATGCCTAGTATCATAGCCCAGGAATGAGCAGCAACACAACATAGCATCAATTCCATAAATGGTCAGAAGATTTCAATAGTTGTCAGCAGTCCCCAATATTCACCACATTCTATAAATACTTGATTGGGCAATTGTTGTGGTCACACCATGAGTTGGAAATCTCTAGAATGCTCCACAAACCAATTTTTGCCAACTTGGATCTGATGATAATGATATTTTGGGGTACATAGAGTTGACAAATGGTCACAAACCAATACAATGTAGAGCTCACTGCGCATTTAAAGTCCCATTATTTACATATTCTTGCCATGAGCAGCCTATATATATATATATATATAAAAAATGAAATAGAGTTATACAGTATGTTATATTTATAGATTAAAGTGCTCAATATCTCAGGGATAGAGTATATGTAAATATAAAAGTGGTCTAAATGTCAGAAATTTTCATAGAAAATATGTGTCCTCCGACAGGAATCAAACCTGTATCCTATAAGGAACCGTCATATAGCCTGACGTGCTTTATTGATTTAGCCACAGACATCATTTGTTTACATTTGGATATGCATCGAGCAGATATGAATGTATGAGAGAAAATCATGGAGAATTGTAGTTTTACAAAGTCAATTTCACTGTTTTTACAGTAAAATTGACCTTGCTAACCAAAACACTCCTCTGTGGCTAAATCGATAAAGCACATCAGGCTATATGATGGTTCCTTATAGGATACAGGTTTGATTCCTGTTGGAGGATGAATATTTTCTATGATAATTTCTTGGCCAGTAAATGTCGTTAATACTGTTTATTATAAACAGAGCATTTACTTAAATATTTGTATCTATAAAAAGAACGTATAAACATAATAAATGTCTTAAAATAATTTCATTATATATATATATATATATATATATATATGCCTGACATAGAATTTGAAGTGATGATCAAAGTCTCCTTCCACCATCCAGAGATGATTTGATATACCACATGTGTGGCAGGAAATGCAGACTGATTGCTGGCTTTATGAGCCACTATTGTTCACACAACCAATAAATGCAGTGTTGTGGGAAGAGTTTAAGTGAAGGACTATCGATGATGGTTATACTCACTTTGCGAGTCAACAGCCATCATATACATATATATGCGTGTATTTGTGTGTGTGCATGTAACAATCCCATGAAAATATTGAATTAGTCAACAGAGTTGTTTTTAATCCACTGTTCTTTGTTATGGATAAGAACAGATCTTCTATAGCTCATAATAATATCAAGTTCGACATTGGAAAGACCAGAGTACTCCCTGGAAAATTCCAAAGCCAAAGTAAAAAGATCCCTGAAAACAGATGGGTAATAATCCACAATATCAAAATGATGGTCTGTCTATATTCCAATTTATCATGGCATGAAAAAATAACTCCCCCACCTTCACCCTCTGAGCTTACTTTTCTATTTAACACAGATCTGACATTTAATTTGTTAATCAAGACATACCCACAAGTCTATTTTTAATTTTGACCTTATGTTTCCCTCTACCCTTTTAACTTTTGGAAAAGAAGCAACACTTTGTTTTTAAATTTTCTTAAAAATCATTAAATCACCAGTTACTTACCATTGCCTGAAGAAGTACAATCAAAGTATTGAAACATGAAAGCTTTTCTGTAGTGATTTCAACATATTTTTATTATAATCTCTTATAATAATAATTATATATATATATATATATATTATATATGTGTGCATGTGTGTGTATGATATATACCTCCCCCATTTATTTACAACTTGCATTGCTACTGGAAACCATATCACTAAACATTATTATTTAACTATTCCACTTGAATACAATGTAGTACAAAATTGAATTTCAAATGGAAGTCCCATGTGTACATGGGGAGCCAGAGGCCAAAAATAGTCCAGTAAGCACTACCTTTTTTGAAGATGCCTCCAGTGTCACAGATTAACCGCAGCCACCTCCCAATAGGGAGAGGTACTACTTAGAGGGATTGGCCTCTTGGGATCAGACTTAGTTACTCTTTGTCTCTCTCTTATTTAATCTGCTTGCTGGCTTGCAATAAATAAAATGCTAGCAACCTCATACCAATAAAGATTTGCCACATTCCTCCTTCCCACACACTGGAGGGAAATCCTTTTGAATTCATTCTATTCCCTACATTTACATTACTTTCAGTGGAAGTAAATCTTGATATTAACTCTAACAAAAGAACTAATATAATAATAATGAGCATTAATAACTTTGTCTTTTGTCAGAACTGACTGTGCCATGAGCAACACTCCCATTTTCTATCAAAGAAACTTTATTGAAATGTGATTAAAACTTTGCATTTGTAATAATCTGTATGAGGTATTGTTGAAAAGTTGTTGGACTGACCCACATCAAAAAATCTGACCAAACATCAGATTTTTTTTAATCCCTTCTTGGTTGAGAATTTATCAGCACCCCTCATAAAATTACTTAAATATTTCTTTCATTTTATAACATCAAATAATACATTGTTTAAAAAAATTTAAATTAAAAATAAATTTTTGGTTTTGTAAAAAATAGTAAAAGAAAGAAACTTCCAAGCCATTTAATAGTTTCATGTTGACTGAAGTAAAAGAGTGCCTTACTTGTTTTCCTTTTTAAACTAAGAATCACTAGCTGTTTGAAACGCTAGTGATTTTTTTAAAAGTAGACTTACCATTTTGCTGCTTGTTCATAATTTCCTTCTTTGGCAAGTTGTTGTGCCCAGGAATTGTAGAGATCTTCAAAAACAGGGTCAAAGGGTGACAAACGAACTTTGGCAAAAGCTACTGCCTCTCTGGATTTGAAAAGGAGAAGAAAGAAAAATAAAGAAATTTCCAAATGTATTTTCTTTTCAATATAGAAAAAATGAATTTACAGTAACTGCATAAAAAAATAAAATAAAATCAGCAGAAGTAACAACAAATAGAGATTCCATTTAAACAACAACTTTTGTTATTGTCATTTTGTTTGTCAAATAAATCATTTGCTTTTCTAATATATGACCATGGATCAGATAGAACAAGCAATAAATTTAGTTAAAACATAAAAATTAATTTCTGCAAGAATTGCAATTCCATCAAGCACAGAATATCAATTTTAAAAGAAGTTAAAAAAATTTAATCTTTTTTCCAATCTATCTATATATACATATATAAAAGGCAGAATGTGTGTGTTCGTTTGTGTTTGATCAGATCTCCTATATTTTTCAACCGGTTTCAACCAAATTTGACACAGTTACTGCTAATGGTCCTGCAGAGGTTTTGACGATGCCAAAAATTGATTTAAGTCAATATTTAAATCAATATTATTGATTTTTCATTTTTGATTGGACACACGCATGTGTAATTATGTGCATTCATTGTACACAAGCAGATATGGGCACTTTTCATGTCAGAATTAATAGCAGTAGCATAATTAGAAAAAAGTCGGATTTATATGGGGAAAAAAAAAAGGACAAGAATGGCCATATTTTGGTTTTGGATGCAAAAGTTATCACAATGAAGGATTTCTGTTGCAGTCGAACTTTGTGCTCCAAAAACCAATTGGATTAGTGTTATTAGTCACGCATGACTCGCAGCTCACGTAATGCTTGCTGCTGATTGGCATATTCACGCTCTGGGGTCATGCGAGATCATGTGTGTCACACGTGTGTTCATCAAGCATCACAAATGGGGTAGAGGTTTCAGGTAGCCTACTTTTATTTCAGGATTTAACACTCATACCATGGTTTTTAAAAAGGATCTTTTAATGTTTCAATGCAGGCATGCATTACTTTCCATGTTTTCTGCATTTGCACAGTAAAGTCAAGGCCATTCCAAAAGGGATTTACAGAGCTACATGTCAAATTTTACCAGAAATATCAGTAAAAACCAGGTAAAACTGCTGCTTTTTAGGTGTTTTAAGCCAAGTGGACAGATTTTTCACATTTGATTGCATTTTTTCATTCAAGGGGACACTGAGGGACTGTTATATCTTTTCATGCTGTTTACATGTAGCAAAAGGCACCTACTCACTATAATTTTACTACTGCGCGTTGCTGCCCAAAAAAGTTCTTGCACGTTTTCATCTAAATTCGTGCTACTTAAATGCCTTCATCATCCATCAGTAAATGAAATTAACATTGCTTCAAATTTTGTTCGTAAGAAGTGTAAAAAACACTTGTATTTTCAACTTTTGATCAATAAAACTACCTCATATCTCCTGGTTGCTCAAAATTTTCAAAGAAAAATGAAGCTTGAAAATCCCATTTTCTGATTGGCTGACTTTGAGAGACTGTGCTACATCGGTGACGACATAAATCAAAAAGGCAATGCCTATTTTGGGATAAGGAACTAAATAGCTTTCATATTTACCAATAAAAACCCTGATACAATAAAGTTGCCAGATACTATTTTGAAACGTCATCTGCCACTGTGCACTGCTTTGACTAACCCAGCTGGAGGTTAACCAATCATGTCAACTGTTCAAGGTTGGTGTGAGCTAATTGGCATGGTTGCAAGCATTTAACCTTAGTATGTGCGCTCAAGGTCAAACGGCCAACAGCCTCTTTATACCATAACTCACATGCGTGTTCACATTTCTGTGATTACTGTCCCATAATTGGCTCACTTCATTCACTTCTTAAGGAAACTGCAAGTTGTTGATTACGTACCGAAACTGTTTTTTTTTACTTCTTAGTTATAACTACATCCGTTTTCACATTTATCGAATTTACTTCCCAAATTACCTACTACCATTTTAGCTTTAGTTGAATTTTTTAAACTTCACTTTTTTGTCTTCGATTCCCTTTTGATACAGTTACATACCTTTTTGGGATCCCTCTAACCTGCCTATGTTTTAACTACACATATTTTTTGCACTCAAAAAACCTACATACCTTTTATTGTGTTTGACTTTTTAAAATTGGTTAAAATGCTGCTTAAGAGAAGAAAACTTTTTGGACGGTGCACAGCTGCTGCCTTCGCTACAAGAGCAGCAAGGGCAAGTGAAACCACAGAGCAAACTTCATCGCGCCTTTCTCAGATGGCCTCATGCTCTGCTGCCTGCATCTCCATGGAAAGTACTGCTGAACAGAGTGAAAGGCTGGCATCATTTATGTCATCACGACACGCTAGACTTTCAACTGAAGAGCGTTTAGTACAGAATTCACAGGACGCAATACATGTTTCTAGGGTCAGGGCTTCCGAGTCCCCAACACAGACAATCCTTTGGCGTTTAAGGAATGCCAGTGCTACAGCATATTCTAGAGCTTTAGAAGGCCTTGAACAAACCATTTTGCATCATCTTAGGAATGCTAGGGCTACAGCATCTTCCAGGGTTTTGAACAATCCCAACAAACTGCTATTCATTGTTTAAGAAATGCCAGTGCTACTGGATCTGCCAGAGCTTTAGAAAGTCCTGTGCAGACTGCTAATTGTCATTTGAGGAATTCCAGATCTACTGCATCTGCCAGAGCTTCAGAAAGCTCTGGAGTGCGGTGAGCACGGCTCAACAACAATGGCCAAATCGCAAGGACAGACACTCAGTGTCGCAGATCTGCATTTAGGTGAAAAGTGTTTCGCTCATGGACAGCTTTATCTAGGCTGCTCCCGAGTTGGGAGTAAGGATAACGTTTACATTTATTCTCCAACAAACAAAGCTAAAAATATTACCTATGCAGAAGTCTTATAGCCCATGGTCAGTCACGTTAAATGCAAGGTACACATCTTTATGTCAGCTGCATCGTAGGTTCCTTCATTTTTGAACCTGGTTTATTTAAAGGTTGTCATAGTATCCACTTGCCATTACTAAGACATTTCATTAAAGGTTGTCTTGCTCATCAGATGCTCCCTTATCATTTAAAACCCCACCATAGCTACATTCGCACTTGTATCAACCATATAACCATATTCAATTGCAACACAAAACCAATACATGGAAGGTGGATTTGTTTGTCAGAGAAGTCGAGTGTGTCCATGCAATTCAGGCCTCAGCAAAAAGAAGTGGGATAATAAAAGAATAGCACCACGCAGAGTTATAATATGCATTCTCTGCCATACACCGTTGGTGTGTTTCTCCCCTTACCATACGGGCTGCTTTAGGTAACGCTACGTGCGCTTCATGCTTGCCTCAACTGGCTATTAAAAGTTACAAAAAAATTTGTGCCACTTACAAGTACTCGCCCTGACAACTTCACATACTTCTGTTATGTGGTTTTGTTTGCGGTAGTGGTAGCGCCGTCTTTTGGGAAAAAGATGCGCCTACCTTTCATGCTATTGCATTTTACTACTTTGCAACTGACAGGGATTTATGTACTCAGGGATAATAAAACTATCCCATCGGAATACAAAGCCATCTGCAACAACTCACCAAAAACTTCTGTGTTCATATTGAACTTGACAACTTTTAATTGGAGTTGTCTTAGTAATGGCAAATGGCTGATGCTATCATGGCTGTCCATTGCTTCCTTTTAAGACTTACAATTTTTTCTTCCGTTTTGCTGATGAAATACCGACAACTTGTATACATTACATTTTTTTACGTGGGCAGCCATCAGTTCTACTAGACTTCAGCCTTCCATGCGTGTACAAAATGAATATGGCAGTTATGACCTTCCATTCAGAGGAAGTTTACTCCTGGGCTACGCCAGGCTTTACTGCTAGTATGCTATAAATTAAAAAAATATGCTTCTTCTTTAAGTGGCTGTGTAACTTGTAGTTTTGCATTATCATAAAAACTATGTTCTGACTTTTAAATGAAAAGTTATTTTAAATTAGATAAAAAAGAAATTTTATTTTATTTTTTCTCTACTTAAAAAATACTTTCAGTGACATTTGAAATGAACAGGTCTTGCTAAAAATTATACATATACCTCATTTTGTCAATAATACTTGTAGTAATTTCTGACCACTAATATATATAATATATTTCCTTCTGATTTTCAATGCACAATATTTAGATTGTGTGAAAACTGACCAAATAAAATTTTACATCAAAAAATGCAAAATTTAATGTTCATTCATCAATTTTTCTTCAGCAACAAAAAATATTTGTTAGTGCATACAATGGGAAAAGTTAAGTAAGAGCCTGATGGAGTAGTGGTAAAATTAGCAAAGCAATAACAACATAACCTGAAATCTTGCCTTTTTATACGAGGTGAAAATGTAGTCAGTGCTAAAAAACATTCATGGTTATTGTGACTTTTACTCTACATTTGTTGTATATAAATACTCACCGGAGTGAAGGAAAGTTTTGATGCATTTATTTCATAAATCCTACTCATGATATCACAAGTTACATAAACATTAAATTTTATACTTTTTTTAAAAATTGAAATTAGATGCCATGCTGAAGAGAACTGAATAGAAAACAACCAATAACAGTGAATGACAATTTAAAATGTTTTGCTGATTGAGGAATAACCTTGAGTTTTTGTCCAACATTTCTTTTCTGAGAGGAAAAAAACTATTTGTCTTTGAGTTGACATATTTGTAGAGACACACACACACACATACACAGATGAGAGAGTGAGAGACATATGCACATTTAGGCATCTATCTTTCCTAACATAAACTACTGTCTCTATTCGAAGCTATTTTTTTTTTTTTTTTTCAAGATTTTAAAACTGGAGCAGAAATGGTATTTTCAAAAACCATTTCTTTCCAACCAATTACTGCACCATTCTTCAAAATAAAAAAAAGTAAATAAATAGAAGTATGCACATTTTGTCAGACAATTTTGCTGAGAAAGAATTTTTTTTACAAAGTATCTGCAAATAAAAAATTTGAGGCAAATCTCATTGAGGGGGAAAAAAAG